CCCCAAAACCCCAAAACCCCAAAACCCCAAAACCCCGTCATTACTAGAACATATATATTAAGCAAATAATAATAAAACCAAAATTTTCTTTAAATTTATGTCAAATTAAATAATATGTTATCTTATAGGATTAAAAACTTCATCAATAGAAATATGAAGGTGATACAACTTGGTCCAAACCGCATTATGCTGTGGATATTCTTGGCACACACTTGTTGACACTTGATACAAATAGTGGGAATTCTAATACAAATCTCTCTGCTGCTTTTAATCCTCTAAAGAAGAGATAAATTTCTTGATCATCAAGATTGAGTTGGTAAGTTCCCTTTCCAATAATAGCATTCTTTAGACCATTTAGGTCAAGAGTAAGACATGAGGGAAGTGGGACGATTACTTTGATACTATTGACAGTTCTGCCATTCTAGAGATTTGTTAAAACAACTTGATACTTAAATGAGGTACCGTTCCTTAGGGTAGATGGCTTAGATGATGGATTAAGATTATAGATCCAATTTTTGTTGGATGGAATAGTGAGGTTGTTGTCAACGAATGAGAAGACTGTGTAGTATCCGAAGACAATGTCCTATTGATCTTGTAGTGTTGCACTGCTGATTTGAACCTTGAAGGTAACAGTTTCATTAGCTTTGAATAGTTGATCTCTAGGATTATAGGTAAACCTGAGTGGTGAGAATTCCCCTTAGTATTATTGAGAATCCAAAATTTCACCATTAGCGAGGAGATCAAAGGTCACGTTAGCACCAATGAAATCGTAGTAGTTGAAGGTTTGAAGAGCTCTAACTGCCAATTAGGTAGCTAAGTTTCCACCGAATAGTCCTCCATTGTTTTATGAAACGAGATATTTAACAGCAGAGTTGATGTTAGTTTGATAGAGAGTGCTATCATTTAACATGGTTCTTCTGGTTAGCATAGCAAGTACAGCAACAGCAGTTGATTCAACAACTCTATCATTTCCTTAGCCATTAAAGATTGAGTATTGGCCGTATTGTCTAACAGTTGGTGAATCGAATTGACCTGATGAACTTTGATGCTTCAATAGTTAGTCGAAGATCAAGGAAAGAGTTGCATACTAGACACTAGTGGTGACTGGAACATTTTGAGAAGCAAGAATGGTAAGTGCCAATTAGATTGGATCTGTGATAAGGTTTGTGAATGTGGCTGTAGCATTACATAGTTTTGCAACGCTAGTGATGTAAGTGTTAAACTCAAATGTGATATTGACTGGCATCCTAGAAGTGATATTTTTGATTCCAGACAGAGTAGCTAGAATGAATGCTTGAGTAGTGTTTTGTCCAGCTCTATTGGTAATATCAACATCACTTAAGGTGTAGTTACTAGTCTTAGCATCTCTTTTGCTTAGAACAAATTTAAGGTTCATTTGATAAGTACTATTGCTGCTTACTTGATCCTCAAGGAATGAGTATTAAGAAAGAACTGAGAGAGCAAGTGTTGTCAATGGAATACTTGCTGTATTGGAACCTAAAACGTAGTCGTATCCAGATGGAACCTTGTTGGATATAATTTGGTAAGCACTGAGTTTATTAAGAAGTTGTTTGGCATATTGAACTGATTCAACGAGCTATCCAACAGCCTGGGTTTCGTTTCCTGAAGCATATGCTTCATAGCTTTGAGCTTGGATCACTTGAGCCATCAAGTCTAACTTGAGGAGTAAATCATCAGCAGTTACATCTTGTCTATTCTCAACAGCTCTAATGGCTTGTTCGAGGTAAGCTTGATATGATGGAAGAATCACAATTTCAGCTTAGACAGTGTTGAGTTGAGACTGTTCTGGGAAGGTAACTGTAATCTCTACTGGTTAAACTGGGGCATTTGAGTATTAGGTAGTTTGGATGGTTCCAGCAGTGAATTGACTCTTCAATTAACCTTTCTTAATGACTCTAGTGTATGAATCTTATTAGGCCTGGTAGAATTGAGATCCATCAGTAGTTGTAGCTTAAATTTTGAATGTGAGTTTAGCAATTTTAGCTGTAGTGAGGGCAGTAACTTGGAAGGTGTAGGTTCCTGTAGTGTTTGCATTGATTACAGCGAAACTGTTTGAAACTGCCTTTCCACTTACAGTTGTAATGACTGGAAGTAGAGTGACTAAGATTGATTTATCGTTGTTGATTACTATTGGTGTGGCAAGCAAGTTTGCTGGACTGAAATTAATAATGGTAGCAGTGACATTGTAGACATCACCAACAGACATAACGTTTGGAAGAGTGTAGTTCATACCGAAAGTTCCACCAGTTTAGATTCTCTTTTGAGCTACTGAGATACCGTTGGGACCGTAGTAGTTAACAGTTATCTTGTAAGTAGTTTGGAGATCACTCATTTTGAATGAGAAATCAGCGTTACTATTGACAACCTTAATGGCACTTCCGAAGAAGAGAGTCTCTGAGGAGTCAGCAGCAGCACTTCTGTTGTAATCAGCTGTGGTATTGTGAGCCCATTGCTTGAGAATTGATGGAATGTTGTTCATAGCAGCAGCAACTGGATTAGCTCTTCTGTAAGGAGAGGAGTCTGGGTAATATCTTCCATTTCCAAATCCTCTTTTCTCATTTTCTTTAGCAGCAACATACATTTGAACATCAAGAGGGAGCTAGTTGAAGAAGTTAAATCCGTATGCCTCACTGACAGAGAGCATGTCGAGATCAAGGAGATCATTGCTTGGTCCGAAATCAGCACCATCTAGGAGGGTCTTGATGACTCCAAGTTCAAAGATTTGTTCATCAATGCTAGTAGCAGCAAGAAGTGATTCCAAATTGTTGTCTGTACTGTTAGTATTGTAGCTATAGAAGTATTGGCCAAGGAGTTATCTTGGGTTAAGGAATTAGAATTTGTTCTCATTGAATTCATTTTGTAGATATACTTAGAAGGCAAAGTTAGTCATGATATTCTCATCTAAATCTTAATCTTCAGTAACAGAGATGAAAACGTATCCATCCTTAGCATTATTGACTGAGACAGAAGCATTAACTTATTCACCAGCCATATATGTATTCTTAGCAGTCTTAATGGTAAGACTAACGTTTGTTGCTGGTTTCTTGAAGAATTGGATAGAGCCAACTTGCTCAGTATATTCAGATATTTAGTTCAAGTCCAAATGAATGCAAGATTTGTTGTTTCCTAAATCAACAAGTAGTGGAGATGCAGTACCATTAGTGTTGTTAAACAAATCTTTAGTTCTATTGTTAGTAGATTTTGGATTTGTTGGCATTTAATTGTTTCCACTAGAATTGTTGGAATTCTACCCTGATGGAAGAGGAGATTAGGATGATGATGAGTTACCAGTAATCATTGGAGGTGGGGTAGAGCTTGCTTGTAGGAGTCTTTAAGATGAGTTAGAAGCTGATGGACTTGGTGGCATTGTTGAGCCACTGGAGTTGTTTGATCCAGTTGAAGGTGGACCTGGGGGCATTGTTGAGCCACTGGAGTTGTTTGATCCAGTTGAAGGTGGACTTGGTGGCATTGTTGTCCCACTGGAGTTGCTTGATTGTGTTTGGGGTGGTGGTGATTGGCTTCCTCCATTGTTAGTGCCAGCTGGGCCAGTTGAGGGAGGGGATGAGTAGTTTCCTCCGTTGTAATAGGTACCAGTTGGGGCAGGGGATGAGAAGTTTCCTCCATTGTAATAGGTACCATTTGGAATTGGGTATTAGTTGTTTCCATTGTTATAATCTGTTTGATTTTATGGACCAGATTAGTTGTTGTTCATTCCGCTAGGAGTAAGAATGTTTTAGAGAGTACCATTATTAATTAAAGTTTGGATTGTGTTAATGTCGCAAATAGGAGTATTTGAGCTGTTTTAGAATGCGAAGTATTTCTCAGTCACTCTGTGGAGATTAACTGTCAAGATACCTCCATTATTCATGGCAAAACTTCTCTAGGAAATAGTCTTTCTGTTGTTAACGCTATTTCTTTTAAATTGTATTGATTCACTGTAGATAATTTGCTCTTTGTTTCTAATTGTCAATAGATAGAAGTCAGTTTCATCAACCAATGAGTTAGTGTTAAAGTTTAATACTAAATCTTCAGTGTTACCAAGAACCTTTCTTTGAGCATTGGTGATTTGCATAACAATAGCAGGGCCGTCTAATTTGTTTGGTGGAAGAGTAGCATTGACTTGTGGCTTAACATTGACTGAAGCCTATCCACACTTTGGCTCAAGGAACTTAGGACCATAGTTTCCAAAGAAGTTACCCTCTGAGACATTAGTACCACTGAATAACTAAGATAGAATCATATAGTCATCGAAGAAGTTGTATGTGAAGTTAAGAGCAGATGCGTTATAGCCAAATTGAGCATAAAGTCCCTTGATTGTGTATTTAACGAACTGTTCGACAATAATTTCTGGATCAAAGAATACTTACACTACCTTAAATCCTCTGTTACCGCCTGGGCCAGGTGGTTATCCTGTTGGATAGCCATTACCATTGTTATAGTCAGTACCATTTGGTGGGTTATAGTTAGGGCCAGTGGGATATTGATTATTTGTGCCTTATGGGCCTCCAGTTGGGTAACCAGTACCTGTTGGGTAACCAGTACCTGTTGGGTAACCAGTACCTGTTGGGTAGCCAGTTCCAGTTGGATAACCAGTTCCAGTTGGATAACCAGTTCCAGTTGGATAACCAGTTCCTGTAGGATATCCAGTACCTGTTGGGTAGCCAGATCCTGTTGGATATCCAGTACCTGTTGGATAGTCAGTTCCAGTTGGATATCCAGTTCCAGATGGCATACCTGTATTAGGAGGGAATCCTGTTCCGGTTGGGATATCTGAGCCTGTTGGAATAGGAGAGCCAGATTGATATGGGCCTGATGGGTTTGGAGAACCTGTTGGAATTGGTGAGCCTGTTGGAACATTGGAGCCTGTTGGTGGATTTGAACCTGTTCCAGTTGGCATTGGTGATCCAGTTGGATAACCTGTTTGTTGACCAGTTGGGTAACCTGTTTGCTGACCAGTTGGATAACCTGTTTGTTGACCAGTTGGATAACCTGTTTGTTGACCTGTTGGATAGCCAGTGCTACCTTAGTTGTAATTGCCTGTAGGGTAGCCAGTTCCGTTAGGATAATCAGTCCCATTAGGGTGTGGTCCCCATTGATCTTGTGGGTTATCAATAAATCCTTGCATGTATTTATAGACGAATCCGAGCATGTTTGAGAAATTAGCTGGGTTAGGGAATCCGTTGAAGATCAAAAGAGGTGGTAGTCCTACTTGACCAACAGTGAAGATATTTGAAGAATAGTTGAATACGAGTCCAGTTTCGTAGTCAAGGTATGAGTAACTAAACTTCTTAAGTTGTTTAGCTTCAAGCTTTGGTGAATTATCAGGAGGGTTAATTCTGTCATCTAGCATTTTTCTGTATCTCTTTTGTCTGGTTTGAATACCGTCGACAACAATAGGAATTCTGATAGCACCTGGTACATAGTGAATACCATCCATACCATTGTTGTCATCATTGAAGTATATGGCGAAAAAGTTAAGTTGATTGTTCTTAATGGGGATTTCAAGGAAATAGATGTTGTTATCCTTTGGTTCAATGAGGAATGAGCCAACACCATTGTAAGTGGTAGTAACATTCTTAGCAATAGTTGAGTTAGCAATAGAAGCGTTGGCAGAGGTAGCATTAGCAACATAAGATCTGATCATACCATCTTTGAAGTTGAAGAAATCACCAGAAACATTGCTATACCAATTTTCATAGTAGGCATAGAAATAGACTCTTTGAGAAACGTTCATGACGAGGTCACTGAGTTGCTCAGTTTAGAAGATTGCTCTGATACCCCATGGTTAAATTTATGGTTGAGAGTTGTTATTGTTTGTATTATTGTTTGCTTAATTATTCTGAGGTACTCCGGCACCTGTGCTATTAATAGAATTGATCTGAACAACAACATAGTTGGAATAGTAGGTAGTTTAGTCGTCAGAGATAACTGAAGCACTGACAGAGAATGAAGTTGAATTGCCAAGTTGTTCTATTCTTGGTACTACTTTGAAGTAAGCAGAGCCTTTCTTGTTTAAGTAGACCATTTCGACATCATCTCCCTGTGAGTATACAAATCCGAAGTTGATATTAACTATATTAGGTAATGGCATTTTAGAATCAGCAGCCTAAACATTAACTTTACCATAGACTGGTTAATCAATAATTATCTTGTCAGTTAGAATGGCAACCTAAACTGTATAGTCCTAGGCATTGTATGTTTAATTAGTTTAGTTTTCCTAATCTTGATTACCCTAGTCAAGATCCCAGGCATTTGGTAACCTTCTGACTTGGATCAGCCTATTTACTGGTGGGAAACCAGAACTTGCTACTCTGATCATATAGTCTCCGTAGTTAATATAGTCTGGGAGTCTAATGGAAAATCCGGCAGTTGGTGAAGACTTATTGTCAACTTTATCAGTGATGTTTGAATTCTCAACTACATTACCATAGACATCAGTAATAACAATTAAGATTGGAATCTGAGTCACAGTAGTAGTATTTGCTTAAGCGACTGGGAAAACGTATGGAGCTTTTTTAAGGGCGTCCATGAGCAAAACTTCCACAAAAACAACGTCGCTAGCTCTGTATACCACCTTATCAGTGTTGATAATGGCGTTGATTCTTGGAGCTGAGCTATCAATGAGTTGTTTGTAGACGTATTGTTAAGCTAAGACCAGTTTTGCTGAGTCAAACTTTTAATTTCTCACAGTAGCAGCAGCTCTGGCTTCTGCATCAAATTCAGATTGCTGTGAATTGTCAATCAAACTTGGCTCTTCTTCAATAAAGAGAGCTTGTTGCTGACTGAGGAATTATCTTTATTCTTCCTTTTGGAAGCTAGATTAGTCTACATTAGTAGAGTATATCGCTAAAGATGCGATGAGGAACATAAAAGCCCCTCCTCCGATAAAGAGAAGTCTTTTATTCATTTATTAGAAGAATAAATCTTAAATGCAGATAGATCCCTTAAATACCAATATTTAATAGCTTTATTGACCCATTTATTAAAATAGGACTTAAAAAGTTTATTTTTAGAAGCAGAGAAATTTTAATCGGATTAGATGAAATTAGGGACTTTTAAATTATATGATTTGAATGAGTCTATTAATATAAAAATGTTAAAATGATTGATTTTTATTTAGAAATTACTTTACTTTACCTGGTTAATATTCTAGTTATTGGGGTTTTGGGGTTTTGGGG